AGCAAGTTCACTACAACAGCCTCAGGGAGCAGAGCTTCATCCACTCATGTCCAGAGAGAGGAAACAGATCCTCTATTTCATTTCATTCATTTACCTGTGTTAAATTAGTTAATACATGTAAAGCACTTAGAAAATATCTGGCATATAGTAAATGTTACATAACTTTCACTATTATTATTGTTGGGTCTCTTTTTAAGAGATGGAAGACTTGTCCCAGAAGCTTTCATGTCTTATTAGCCAGAAATGGAGTATGTGCCCCTTTTTAATCCAATCACTGGCAAGGGAAATAGAATTCCATGACTGGCTTAGACTAATCAGGATTCACCCACTCTGAGACTAGATACATGCTCCTTGAGCATAAGGCTCTGTGGAGGACAATGAATTCCCTGACAAAGCAGAAGTTCTTCCAACAGCAAAAAAGGTCGGGAATAGTTTGGGTAGGAAACCCACTGTATTCCAGTCCTCCACACATCCTTTCATCTTAAGGAGCTAAAAGAACAGGAGTGTGGAGATGCTGCAAGGTATGTTCCTACAGCATGGAAAGTTTTCCATGGTATGAAGAAATAAGCCAACTCAAGGAAAGCAGGGAAGGAAAAAGAGGTAGACAGACACATCTGATGGTGCTCTCATCTTGGGATTCAGTCAAGGTAAGCTTCACCAATTTCCATGGTTTAGCTTCAAAGCCAATGAATGTCTCCCATTTTACTAAAGAGTCTGAGTTGGATTTGTCTTACTCACAAAAGAATCATGACTGATACAGGAAAGAAAATCTTAACAGTAAATAATAGCACAGGTTTTTGAAGTTGAAAGCTGAGACTTAATACTTCTTAACTATCTGTGAGACCTTGGACAAATTACTCTTCTAAAATGCCCTATCAAAGTACTTAGTACACACACACACACACACACACACACACACAACTGAACTTTACTAAAAAGGTAGAGAATTTAAAGTTCCCAACTACTGATAGCTGACAGCAGTTATAAATCAAGTTCATGTTATTCGGGCTAGTTTCTCATTTAAATTACTAACTGAATTCTATTGTTGGCTCATATTTAGAAGCTACTAAACACACTCATTTGGGTTTTCTTGCTGGCTACTGACTGCATAAAGGCAATAACCAACATTTGTATTATATAGTTCTTCCTCAGTTCTATAAGCTAAGTTCGCTATTGTACTATTTGCATACAGTGTTGCTAGTGTTTTTTTTCCCTTTAAAATTTGGGGTTATATTTGGAACACCCTTCTCTTAAACATATTCATCTCCTGAAAATACAACCTCACTCTCTCATAATTTGATCTGCATACTTAAAATAGAATCCTACTGGTCATTACTTTTTTAAAAAAAAGAATACATGGTGTATTAATTATTTTTGAAACCATAGAACCTCCTGCTCCTATTTAAGATGCCTCTCTTCAGAGGGGTGCTCAGTACTTAAAAATATAAAAATTTCACCATTTTCCAGTGGGATAGCTGACTCTAAAGTGAGTTACAACCAAACAAATATTCAAGAAAATGAAGTTGAAATTCCTTAGTTTTTATTTATAGTGATACCTCCTAGTATGAAGTGGATACTACTGAATGATAGTCACAAAATCAAAGAATATTAAAACTTTTTAAGTCACCTAATTCAGAACTTCTTCACCTGGGGTTCACATCAGATGTGAAATTTTGTGTTTGTACATTATGCTTTACTGAAAAGAAGAACCTGCAATCACAATTTCAAAGAGATGCATGGTTGAAAAGGCTGAGAATCATTATCTAGTTAATACAGGAAGTGACAAATAAGACTCAAGGAAATGAAATTATTTTCCCATGGTCAAATAATCAGCAATCATCAGCTTCAGTATTCAAGCCTTCTTTTCACTGAAACATAAGCATTCCTGAGAGGATTTTTTTAATAAGCATAAATTTAAGAAAAAAAGAAATCTGTAAGACCTAAGAGCAGTGAAAGGAACTCTCAGGCTGATGATAAAACAAAGTACCAAGATGGCAGATAAGAGGCATGACTTGAGAGCAGTTCATCCAGAATGTAGCAGGGCGACAGAGTTCCAGGAGGGTCATTCCCAAGAAAGAAGAAAAAGAAACTAGTAGAATGCTTGAATGTAACTGACTACAACAAAAGTTCTATAGTTCTGTCAGACACTTTGGAAAACCAGAAAAACTGTTGCACAGACAGGGAATATTATCACAGTACATTACAAGACGGAGCTCTAAACTATGCATCCACAAACATGAGCCCTGAATACTGATTTAACCAAAATTTGTAGTCATGGGAGGGTGGGGGAAGGGGATTGGAGAGTGATCATATAAAAGCCAAATCTTCATCAAATAATCAGAAATCAACAAATAACATCTACAATGAAATAATCAAGAAAAGGTGAGGGCCCCTTGCCCAATACTTTCTGGAGACAGCTGAGTAGATTCTAAACAACATTTACCACTCAGGTTGCTATACAACTATTCAGTGACAATTAACTGTTCTGTTGCAAAGGGTTAACAATCATCTTAAACCTCAATGTCGCCCACAGAGACCCAGATTTTACATAATCCTTTCCTCTCTTCTTGTTTCCTCGTGCCCTGTTTCGGCATGAAACTAGCAGGGACAGCAGAGAGGAGATTATGGTATAAGGTATGGGATATCTGGTCACTGATTTTGGTTGTTATAACTTCATTTCTTCTGCATTTTTATAACTTGGGCTCCTGACGCCTGATACTGTCTTATGAAAATAAATCCTTTACCATGAAAAAAAGAAAAGGCAAGGAAAAGATGCATAAAAAAATTAAGTAAATATCATTAAAAATAAAACAGTGTGATTTAACAGGGCATTAGTCCATTTTGAGCAGGACAATTCTTTGGAATATGAGGCTATGTTAGAGCAAAGGTCAGCAAACTAAGGCCTGTGGGCCAAATCTAGCCCATTACTTGTTTCTGTAAATTAAGTTTTACTGAAACACAGCCATGCCATTCATTTACACATTATCTATGGCCGGGTTTGTAGTCTAACAGCAGAGTTGAATAGTTTTCAGAGATCTATGGCCCTGAAAGCCTAAACTACATACTATCTGGCCCTTTATAGAAAAAGTTTGCCAACACTAATTTAGAATATGGCATGACATTTAGTATCTGTGATTCCTACCCACAAATGTTAGTATTCTCCCGAAAGTTAGTTATGAAAACCAAAACTTCACACCCTATATTTGCAACCCACCCTCTCCAACTACCTACCAGAGACAAAGAGTAGCAGAACTTTGGTTTGAGAACCACTGAGCCATAAGCAATTTCAAATGACTGCCCCCAGCGATCAGAACTCAAAGGTTGGGTGAAAATAGGAAAATATTGAGGGAAGCTTTTTTTTTCCCCAATAAGCTTTGAAATACTAATGCATCTTTCAAAGTATTCACATGTACTTCTTCAAGAAAATTAAATTTAAAAGCAAAAGAGAAAACTAGAGCAAATCAAATCTGGTTAATGGTTCTGGTGATTCTCTAACATAAAATATGTGATTACATTTGCTAGATACAACTTGTTATGACTGCTCTGGAGAATTTTTTTTAATTGAAGTATAGTTGATTTACAGTGTTGTATTAGTTTCTGGTGTACAGCACAGTGATTCAGATATAAATATATATTTATTTTGCGGGGGTGGGTGTTGCACATATCCAAAGGAGCTAGGTAAATGATCCTCAGATAAGAAGGGTGTTAACTGTGCTAACTGAATGTGGGTATAATATTTCAAACTCCCCGATCTCAAAATGGTCAGTCAATCTAGTATATTCCACAAATGATTTTTAGAGAAGTTTGAAATGTTCAAAGTAACAAGCCAAATAGATAAAATGTTTAATAAACATTATTAACTCTCAAAAGTATCAATTAAGAGAAAAGCTTTCAAAGATCAATACAGAAAAAAATTTAGTTTTCTTTAATTCAGTTTTCTTTTAACTGGAAATTTAAAAGTAAAGATGACACTAATGTAGAATCATAAATATTGAATAGCATGATCAACACCACTACTTCCAATTCAGCAATTTACATAAAAAATGTGATATTGTATATCTGTGGTATGCTCTACCCAGAAAATAACAAATCCAAAGTCAGACTGTATTCTTAGGTTTGTAATCTTTAAAGTGTTCTACTTACCACTTATTTCCTATTCAACTAAATTTTAAAACTGTCTGATTTTCCCATACATAGGAGAAGCTTTAAATATATAATTATCTTTTTTAATAGAGACCTAATGAATAAGGCATCAAAAATGTTTTAAAATGTGAAAACAAACATAACCCACTACATACACTAAAAATTTAAGACACCACATATAACAATACAGTTTAAAGATTGTAAACAACACTCTTCAGGGTAAACAGTTTACTGTATTTTCCAAAAGGAATCAGAACCTGTACTTTTATAAGAAAACATTGTACTGGTAAACCTTATTTTGAAAGTAGTCTGACACTTCTAGTTAAGTACTTATGATAACTATTCCTGAAACATCAAAATAAACATTTTAATATTTCAGTTTGGAAAATACAGTCTCCAAAGATTATTTTACTGAAAAGATTCAGCTGTTGAATTGTAACTTACAAGAAACAGATTAAAACTGTATTTTCCCTTGATATAAAAGTTATAAAATAATAGCTCTGCTAACCTAGCTTTCTTTTAAAAGAAATACAAGAAAAAATTTAATACTTTCATAAAATGCTGATTATATCCATAATTCTGGAAATTTGGTTTATATTATACCTGAAACTAATTCAGCTACTTTGACAATGTGGAGTAAAAAGTAGAGAAAAAATATTTTTAAGCATCACCTTTCTAATTTACTTAGAAGTAAAGTTAGCACAAGGAGAACCATAATTTTCTTTCCTGTCCACTCAAAAGATCCTGAAATCTATGTGCCACTATTTTAGATATACATAAATTCATCACATGAAAAAAAGCATGCATTTTTAGAATAAAAACACTTAAAATGTTAAAAACTTTGCCTATCAACTTACCTTCTTTTGATACCAAACTATAGCATCTGTGACTTTGGACGCCATTTATTCCACTGAAATCACACATTCGTCATTTTAGGCTGTGCAAGAGAGAAAAACATACAAACGACTTTACTTCCACCTTCTAAAAGGAGACTGAACAACATGCATACATAGCACTCTAGTTACTTGCAGAGCAAGGGGTGTATGACTATACTTATATTACACTCTTCCTCATTACTATTTTAGCAACAGGTTCTCTTACGTAAACAAAAATCAGTTGCCATAACAAAAGAATGATCTTTCTACGTGAAAATAACACTTGAATTTTCTTACAATTAAATTGTTTTTTTTAAGTCTTTTAAATAAATTTCAAAATTTTCCAGGGTATACTGGAAATTTTTCATTTATAAATTCACATATGATAGGAATCAATCCATTCATTCAGTAACAGATCAATTTTAGTTTCTGTCTAGGAAGTAGTGTCAATTACTGTTGCTAAAGGATAGCTTGATAGAGTGCCAAAATTTATAATCATATTTAATTTTCCCTAATACTCAGTAAACACAAAGTTGAACTAAAATCAAATACCTGGAGAAACCTAATTAATGTATGCTAAATACTAAGCCAATATCAGAATTATTTACAAAGGAATAATTAATATTAAGGACTTTCCACATATCACAGTTTTGTTAATATTTAGAAATTTTCTACAGGCTATTTCATAAGCATCATACTAAACTTAATGGTTCCTTAGCCCTAGAGAGAATTAACTCCAGACTGATCCCAGTTAACTCTAGAATACTTTTCTACTCATAGTACCACATCAGCATGGAGAGCACGTCTAGGAGGGTGTTAAGGATGAGCCTACACAGGTTCAAAGGCAGATACTGGCCCTAGAACTCACTGCAGATTAGGATCATCTAAGGCCGAAAAACAGATCTCAAGGAAATTCTAGAAGTAAAGCACCCTGCTGAGCCGATCCTAAACACATGCAGAATTGCAAATGCAGAGTTGCTAATACTACAGAGTTTCCCAGAGTAAACAAAGTATCAAAAGTTTTATATACCATTCTTGGGAGCATCTTAGGATTCAAATATAATGAAATTACCAGCAAGTTCAAATATTCAGATCAACTTCTAAAATTTAAGGCAACATTTAATTAATGCCTGTATTTTTGTCAGTGTTATATAGATCAGATTATTTTATTACCTTTCCTAGGGTACTGATTCCATCTTTATCTGATCAAATTCAACAAAACTATGTTTTGAAAATCCTTATAAATTCCCTAGCATCATGAAAAGAGGAACACAGAGTTAAATATTAGCTTCACTAATATGTAATACTGAAGAAGTCTCTTAATCGCTATGATTTAGTTTCTTTCACTTATAAAATTAAGAGTACCTATTTTTTCCTTGTAAGATTTTTGTGACTGATAAATAATATACCTGAAATTTACCAAACTCTAGTACATATAGATGTTTAATTGTAATTATTTTATTAGTAACTTTTATATTTAAAAATTCTCCATCCAGGAACTGCTAAGTGCTTATATTTCCTTTTTTTAACATGGCAAAGTTTAGAGAAGAAATACATGCAATGAGTTTTTGTTGACATTTAAAATAAAAACAGCTAACTGATTATTATTAGGTTAGCAATGTCAATTCTCAACTACATACACATGGATTAAAGATTTCAAAGTTCACCTCCTCTTAAGTTTCTCACTCAGATGTGGCTACCTTCATTTCTTTCACCAGGGTTTTTTGGGAAACTTGACTTTACTGACTTAAAATCTCCCATTTTTGTTTTTCTGTCCTTGAGGCCTCTAGGGATAACACATTAATTTTAATCACATTTCATTCTAAAGGCTTTCCCTTAATTCTGCCAGAGGATTATTTATTACAGCATTACACCTTCATTATAATTGTCTGTCAAGACAATTGTGCATGTTTTCCAAACTGGTTAACTCCTTCTCCCCACTCCTGTCCCCACCTTGCCAAATGCAAACTACAAAAGATGCTACAAAAAGTATGAGAATATCAATTTTTTACTTTACTGTCCTTTACTTTTTTCTTGCCAATATTTTATTATAAATAGAGTATAACTTTTAAAATTGTTAATCACTATATTGTACACCTGTAACATACAATATTTTACATCAACTATACTTAAATAAAAATTGTTAATTAAAAAAAGTAATTCTGGTTGCTAGCTTGTAAACCCTCTGCAGACAGGAATTTATCTTATCTTTTATAGCATCCACATTTTCTAACACATTAATACCTAGGTTCAGGAAAGGAAACAGAAGAAAGGTTTTAAGGATGTAGAAAAGGGATGCAAAAACATTTCAAAAAGTTTTACTCTTAGCTACATACATGTTATTTATACTTAGAATATACTTTACTGCCCTTTAATCTCACCCAATCTTTACTGATAAAAATTCCAGATTATCTACCAAAATAAAGATCTTCTTCCCTAATCCCACAGGATTTCATATGCAAAGTGTGAAAGGATTTTTTTATTCACCTTATCTGTTAAATATATGAGATAGTTACTATATCTGGGAAACATTTATATGGTCACATATAAATAGCAATTTTTTTTAAGAAAAGTCTTTAATGGAAGTGAGAAAAACATTACCTGGTTCAAATAAAATGATCTGAAAGCCTTTTTTATATACTTTGGTTTACACCAAGGTACACTTAGAAATAAATTTCAAAAATCAGCTGTAACAGTAAACTAGACATATAAAATATTCTAAATATTTTAATTATATTCATTTTGATCTACATAAATACAACTTCAATTAATTTCGTTTAAAAAAGAAACAACCTTTCTTCAGGTAATGGTAAGTTTTGCTCTATAAATTCATTTAACAGTTTTTCCATTGTGTCAACTACCTCTCATTTCAGTGACACTGAGAGGCTCATATCTATTTTTAAAACAGGTTTTACAACATGCTAAGATGGATTTCTGAATCAGACACATGACAAAGTATGCTCAAAGACACATGAACATAATCAACAAGAAATAATAAATCAACAAATGATTTCATGAATAATAAAGATTATTTCTAAAGCTTTTCCAACTTTTTTGATTCTGACAGTTCAGGAATACAGGTTCATAACCTCTATTACCATGATAGTTCATGTTAAGTAACTTTCAATACTAGATTATGACACTAAAGTTAATTTACAGAAAAAAGTAGAATATTAAGCTTATTGAGTACCTTAAACAGAAGATCTTAATCTTTTTTGATCGAATGAGTTGATAGAAAGATGGTATTAAAATATGAAAATAATACAATTTTGAAAACACACAGCTAACTGCAGGCATAACATTTAAATATTGCCAAAAGCAGTTACTCTCAGCTCATTCTCTCCTTGATGCTGCTTTAATCACCATACCTTGTCAAAACATCTGAAATTATTCTTCACTGTGTCAAGGTCTACAAAAACTGCATTTATGATGCCAAAAACCAGGATGGAGGGAAAAGATGACACAAAGACATAGTATGTTAAGTCTGCTGTTATAGAATCTTACTATCAAATACAGTAATGACCAGCAGATATTCTTTGTACAGATACAGCCAAAGAAATCATCAAGGTTTTAACCATTCCCTAAGTTAGGAAAAAAAAGTATCAAATACTATATAATGTTACAATGTACTTCTTTCATTTTCATGAAACAGATTTCCCTGTTTCAGCATGACTCTTTCTAGGCTCAGAAAATAATTTATGCCCACCTCTGTCAGACACTTTGCTTGTGCTGTAATTCCCATTCCTTTTCTCTGCTCATCCATCCTTCTAGATCAGTTCAGACCCTACTTCCTCTAAAATGAAGTTTCCTCTAAGTGTTCATTTGGACTAAAATATTTTGAAGCTTGATGTCTCTTCCAGCATTGACTTGTACTAATAAATCTGGTATTTAAATAAAAATACAAAGCAGTATAGCCACACATGTCATTGAATCATATGTAAACACTCTTAAGGAAAAAGAGGCATCTTTCTTCCTTTGAGCCTCGCTAAGTACCCAGCATATTATAATATGCGGAAGAGGAAGTACAGCACAGAAAAAGCAATGACTAAGCATCAGAAGAATTGGGTTCTAGGTCCAAGTTCTGACACTAAGAACTCCATGCTTCTGAATAAGTTACTGAGTTCTCTGGGCCTTAGTTTCTCACCACTGCCATCTTAGCCAAATAGTTCAAACTCAGTAAAGATTAAACAAGTAACAATTCCAATAATGTATAGCAGTTCCTCTGAATTGCTTTACTAACACATCCAGAAACATTAACATTAGTTAAATCAGTGATATATATGGAATTTAACATAGTAGAAACTGTTAGACAAGATGGAAAATGTTATTTTTAAAAGGCAGTTTATGCAAATCTCCTCTGGCCCTGATCTCATCATTATGCTATTCAACAACCTGTGCCACATTTCTCACCGCACTTAGAATTGTGTTTAAACCCTTTAAAATCTCACAGTCACCTACTTACCCAACACTATTGCTCACCAGCCTCTCATACATCTGTTTCAATCATTCCACTTCCTACAGTTTTCTACCTTAATGCCAAAATTAACTTTTCTTTCCAAAACAAGGAAGATTTCAAGAAAGCCTCCTAAATTTCAATTTCTCTGTAAGTTTCTTCCTAATTTTTCCATTAAACATTTCTCACACTGTTCTGCATTCCCATTACACTTAGTATGTTCTGTTTTGCAGACCTTTAAATACTTGTCTGTATGTGCCCCTACTCCATAAGTTCTTTGAGAGCAGTCCAATGTCTTTATTATCTCTGAACTCTCCTATAGCTTTTTGTATATATGAAACACAAATGTTTACAAGCCAAATTAAACAGCTGCCAACCAAAGCACCATCACAGATGAATGAATTTAAGGGCCTGTCAACCGAAGGAAAAATGTACCATGTTAGAGTAATGACTTAAGTTTTATTGGGGCAAAATGAGGACTATAGCCCAGAAGACAGTCTTTCAGAGAGCTCTGAGGAACTGTTCAGAAGAGGGAGGAGGCGTGGTCAGTATACATGTGATTACAGTGAAGCACACATTTTGGCAGAAAGTTGTTTCAAGTCACAAGAA